CCTTTTGAAGGGGTGCATGGTGACCCCAAGATAGTCTCTCACTGAGAGCAATATAATAGCTCTACATTTTGAAAGGTGTCAATTATATGTGTCCTGTTGGGTTAGACTTTGTTTACAGATATCTAAGTGTAGTTTTTTAGAAGAAAAATCTGCCCTTATTTTCCAGGTAGTGGCCCCAAAAAATCTTTAAAGTAAGTTGTGATTAAAAACGTCAGGGAGCTTTCTGCTTGGTGATCTGCACAGAATTAAAAAATCAGGGATTTGTTTCCGTTATTTGGTAACACACTCAGATGTCAGAGACGATATGATGAGAATCATGCGCCGTGCACTCACTTTACTTTCCAGAATTTGTCAGTTTTCTTGACAGAGCTGTTTATTGGTTGGCTCTTAGGGACACAAGTGAGGATTAGATAGAAGATGACAGGTACTGGAAGGTCTAGGTAAATACACATACTGGCCACAGTGAAAAACTAAACAGGTGTGGCTCCCGAGGACCCAATTACGTATAGCACGTCATGTACTGCACGTCCGAGTCAGTGTGAGTGAATACATAATACAAGTTATTATATAACCCATCACAGCTTTTATAATGCTGTATTTCTTGATATGAATTTTTAATGTTTTACAAGCATATGAACCACATATTACATACACTACAATCATTACATGTGGTTAAACGTATTAACTACTACACATTATTAAAGCATGTGGTTTACATGTGTGTGTTAGCATCTTCCTCTTGTTGTGTAGCCCGTCTCTCCAACTGGTGTCCTCACTTCTACAAGGAAATACTCCTTGACTCAGTGAGTAGGTCTCTGCCTCCTTGTTTTATGTACTCATGATAACCATGTGTTTTCTTTCATAGCACTCACAGATTTACATTTATTTTGAGGTGATTTGATTTATACTCGTATTGGGACTGTTTGATTCTTTTCTATCTCTGCGACCACACTGTAGATTCAGTAAGGTCTGTTTCTGCCCAGTGTTCTCTCTCCACTGCCTGACACACAGTCATCATGCAATACGCCCCTGTTTAATAATGAATAAATTCATAAACCAGATTTTACAGAGGCTAGAAAATCAGTGGAAAAATTACCTAGTGCAGGAACACAACTCTTAGTCCACAGTACTTGCTTTGCCAGCACCAGCACCAGCAGAAAGATCTAAGTGGAAATCACTTATGGTGAGAAGATTGCACTGAGCTGAGCCCAGCAAGGAGAGCTATTTCGGTAATTAAGAGGTGCTTCCCAAGGACGATAGATGGTGGTTCACTTCCTCACTTCGTCCATCTTCTTAGGCCTCCTCAGTATATTGACCAAAACCCTATGTCCTGTGCACAGTGTTTGGACAAAAGGTGTCATTTTGGCTTCCTGTTATTTCATTACTAGTAGTTCTGACCTTAAGATGGGGCCATTTTTCAAGAATGAAGAAAGTCATAAAAAGTTTTTTCTTCATAGTAGTTATAAGGCATCTTGATTTCTGAGTTTTTGGCTGGAGATGTGGGATGCTGCCAAGTTGCCCGTTAAGACCATCCAACCACCAGTGTACATTTTAAATTTGTGATCATTTAAAACAATTGGAGTTTTTCACAATGCCTTTTTTTCTTTTTTGTAGTGTTGAAATATAAAGGTGCATTATTTTAGAGGCTAGTAGAACTGTACCAGTATTAGGCAAAGAAGTGTACCTGTGAGTAATCAGAGCACATTTTAAATAAGAACAACTCACTATTCAAAGGGACAGTCAGTAAAATCTTGCTGTGGCCTGTTTGTTTATTTAAAGTCAGATTTTCTGATAGTAAAGTGAATGTTACCTATATGGAACTGAAAACAGAGTACTAGGGGTTTATCACCAATGCAAATAAATATAATACGATTATTTTAAATTCAGTAAATATAACACAGATAACTTAGGCTGTCATCCCTATGTATTTCTAGTGTCAACATCACATACATACACTTAACTGTCTAAACCATTCTGATTACTAATTCAGTGGATAGCTTTCCAACTCCATCTCCACCCATCAAATATTTATTGAGCTCCTTTTGTTTGTAAGACCCCATTGTAAACGGCTAAGGAACAGTTTCAGAGTATGACATCAAAGTTGCAGTAATTGGTGCCTCTCTGTAATAAACCTAGATGTATCTTCTAAATTATATCAGGCCGGTCCACTCTAGAATTAGAAAACACCGCAGTGGTGCTCCCCGAATAATTCCATGCATAGCCTACTTGACAGACAAGATGTGACTGTTCCTACCTCCATGCTGTTTTACTGCATGACACTTCCTTTTATTCACTGTCCCGCTCAGATTTCTATTTATACCCCTCACTATCCATGAATCCTCCTTTAACCACTCAGGCTCACATCAGTTTCTCCATACCTGGATCTAATATTATCAACTCTACTGCAGAATTTGACACAAAATGAAATAATTGCATGGGATGACACCACTACATTTTTATATCACAGCATATTTGATATCATTGGCAGAGAGTGTTGAATGAGTGACAAATCATTGAGAAGTGAAATGTGAATATTGATTCAGAGAGCAAGTAAAATGCGGAGGACAGGAGCACATGCAGTGTGTGTCCATCTGTGACTTAGGGCTGGTTGGCGGGGAACAACATCGAATTCAGCCTTTCTCCAGAGGTTTCCTCACTGCTTTCTCAAAAGTGAAGGCTTTCTAAATCCTCAACAAAAGAGTAATGTCTGGAACATAAACAGTGCTACATCAAAAAAGTGTAATGAATTTTAAGGGACAGATTCATAGTGTGCAGTTAGTTTGGGCGTTTATGAAGTTATTACTTTGTTTTCTTTTCCAACAAGGAGAATTACTAATTACTGTCCTTAAGAAGCAAATTATACAACGTTTAAAAAATGTTTAAAGAGCTTTGTGGCTGGAGAAGTACATTTTCATTTCAGTGGGAGTTGTGTAAGATATAAACTTAAATTGGTTGTATTGCATCATTATACAGAAATATAACAGTAACTTGGCATACTGCATGCATCACAATATTTTATTCTTTGATTTAGATGATCCTTATTGACAGTATTAACTATTAACATGTTTATTTTTTCAGCTACTTGAATGACTTGGACAGAATTGCACAACCAAATTATATCCCAACTCAACAAGATGTTCTCAGAACTCGAGTAAAGACTACAGGAATTGTTGAAACACATTTTACTTTCAAAGATCTTCATTTTAAGTGAGTAACTTCTTTAAGAAAAAATTTATAATTTACAAGCTTAAAATATTTTAGAGTTGGAAATTACAAAACCGTTTCTCTTGTCACATTGGACAAGAGAATTTTGGGGTGAAAGAGGGAAAAACATTTTTAGGAGGAATGTTTATATTTTTATTTCAGAAAAAGTAGCCAGGCAAATTCCTTTTGCCTGTATTTTTCAGTGATCTAACTAAAAATAGTTTTTGGCTTTTATTTTTAAATAGAAACTACTGTTCTAATATTGTATATTTTGGGGAAGTGTTGCCATCCATTTTTATGTAAAAAGAAATTCAGTTACTGATAAAATATATGCTTATTTATGGAAATACTTTAAACAGTTACCCTCTAAAATTTTTCCATGATGATTTTTATTTATGCAAACTCTTGTTTGCACTATTTCATGATGAAAAATGTTCATTTAATTTTGGGTGTACTGTAACTTACTGAGGTCTGACCAGAGAAGCACTGAATTTTAGCCTATAGTAGTGGGTGGGATCCGGGAGTTCATTTTGTCCAGTCTGCTCATTTTGTACCAAACCAGGCTCAGGGAAGTTAAATGAAACATTACATTCAGTTTTACAGAACTGTGTTTACCTTTTTCTAATAAGTAACAATTTTCAAAGTATGAGAAAAACTGCTGAATTTAGCTCTACTTAACTCTACTGAAACAATATGATAATAAAGCAGAATTTCTGAAACCATCTTAAGAAAAGGTTCCTAGTCAGAGATTATAAACAAGTACTCACCAGCTCACCTCGTAAGCTGCTCACTGTGGAAAGCACAGTTAAATATATTCCCTCTGTAAGTATTTTAACTATAATTCATTTGTTATTATCCTTTATCACTAAGTTATCCCACATTCAGTGGTAATTGAATTTTCTGGAAAACTAAAATTTAATTTCAGTTTGCCATGGCAGCCTCCCTTCAGATGTACAAACATTGCCCTGCTTTCTTAAACAGAGATGCAGGTTAGAATTGGTTTAGCTGACCATGTGACTTTGGGCTTCAATACATGGGTACTGTTTTGCATTTGGTTTTAATTACTTTCTGTTTTCATCATTTTTTTAGTTGTCAGCCGGCTTTTTTTTTTTGGCTGCTGATATTCACTTATTGAAATCATTTACCTTCTTTTAGTTTGCCTACTACTTCTAGAATATTAAATAACCACTTAGGAATATTAAAATATTAAGTTACCTGATTTGTCTTATTTGAGAACTGTTACCGTATTTATTTAAAAATTATAAAGTGATTTTAATTATAAGGAAATTCACTTTTAAGAGTTAGGCTTTAAGGTTTGCTTGTTTTTAAACCTAGTACACCTTAAATTTTGATTTTGCTTTACCTTGCTTTAAGACTGTGTTCTATAGCAAACTTAAATTGTTATGTTCAGATTATAGCTTTATTCTAACCATGCAGTCCAAGAAGAAACATGCATGAGGTTGGGGTTATTATAAGGAGTCTAGCCTTAGGCCCGTATTAGGTAAGTGCAAACTTGTTTAACAGACTGTTCCGGTCTTGCCCATTGTCAGAAGTTTAAAGATAAAATGAGTTATTGTCTATAAAGGAAACAGAGGGGAGAGCTCTGTAAATGATGGGAAATGGTGGAGGTAAATGTTCTGTCAGTTATTTGGTACTTTAGGCAATCTAACTGTGCACAGTTCAGTTTTGTTCTTGGTTAGATGCACCCTAAACATTCACTTCCAGCCTAGGTTTCTCAAGGTTGTCATTTTAACGTCAAGCAAGTACTGGGACTTAGTAAAGTTGTCTCTCATCACGATCTTTCCAGAGCGTCCACTTATCTTGCTCTATTTAGTCTTCTTGGGTGAGGCGGAATTTCATAGGATGTTTTTAGTTACTGTTTCCACTTGCTGACTTAAACATAGGTTTGTCAAGAACTTCAAATAAGCTTTTTCTTATTTTGGATTTGAATTCTGTTAAATTACTATCATTGCTAACATATGGTTCCAGCTTTGCTTTTTATATGTTAAGTGAGCCTCAGAAGAATGAGGGCAAAAATATACTTAGAATAATTCTACTGGGAACCCTTTAGTGTATTTATCGTTTTGTGTTGTAATTCATTGTCTGATTTTAACTGCTGATACTCAGTTTTGTGGTATGATGGGAACTAACATGCAAAATGAGGCAATAATCAGGCATTATAATTTAAGAATATATACTATCACCTCTGACTGCATTTGTGGCAAGTGTCTGAATTATTCTGGTTTAGAATCAAGTTTTTATTGATATTTTTGTTAAATATAGAATTAAAGCATCTTTTCTATTAGAAAATTATAACAGATAAGATTCTATTCCTTTCCCTTAGTATTGTAAATGTGTGATTGGTTTTGGGGTGCAGTGTCACATTTATGGGGTTAATATTCATATATGGTCAACTAGCATTGTAGCAGTCTTGGTCACAGTGGTATAGATGACATTCTGCAGGTAAGTCAGCCATATCGGGATCTCCAATATCCCCTTCCACCTTCCCTCCATCTTTCCACTCCCCCTTAAAAAAAGAAACCTAAGAAAACTCGGTTTCCACTCCCTGTTCGATGCTAGTCAAAAAGTCTCATCTTTTCATGAAGGAGAGCGTATTATAAGGAGAACATATTATAACGTGTTCTGTTTTGGGTTAAAAAAAACAGATGTTCAGAATTGGAAGATAATGCTAATGAATGTGTGAAACAATGAATAATGCTTTGTGCGCTATCTGATCATTTGTCATGTTAGTTTTTAGTCATTTGTGCTTTGACTTTTTAATTAGGCCAGTGATATTCAAAGTGTGGCCCCTTGATTGGCAGCATTAACTTGTCTGCTTGGTGATTCTGATGCACTCTAAAGTTTGAGAATCACTGGCTTAGATTTAAGGTTGTTTATGACCAATATATGAATGACCCTCTTTTGCTTCTAAATTAAATTGGAGAGAATTACATGATTGTCAAGTTAAAGCTCTTTTATATTTAATATTCCCACAGCATAACTGGAAGATCTAGATCTTTAATATAGGAAAACTAGTCTGTTGCTGCTTGACAAAGTGTTTTTTAAAATGTTCTGTAGACACACAGTTCATTCTTCCATTCAACAAATATTTAGGAAGTGGAGGGGATATAAAATGGCCCAGACCAAGTCTGTTTTGTAATGTGAGCTGTTCTAGGGGTAGGAGCAGAGAGGAGATGACGTAACTATTTAAAAGCCATAGAGGAGGATGTACTAGTTTCCTAAGGCTGCTGTAACATATTACCACAAACTAGACCGCATAAATTTATTCTTGATGGTTCTGGGAACTAGAGGTTTAAAATCAGTACGTCAGCAGGACTATGCTCCTGAAGGCTCAAAGGAAGGATGCTCCCTTGCCTCTTCCTGCTTCTGGTGGTTGTCGGCCGGCCTTGGTGTTCCTTGGCTTTCATCACGTGGCCTTCTTCCCTACGTGTCTGGTTCCTCTTGCTTAGTACTTCACTTCTCAGTGTCTCTCTTTCCTCTTGCATTTTACTTCAGCAGCGCAGAGAAACAAGGCTGTACCTTGTGCTCTTTGCTTGGAAATTTCCTCAGCTAAATCTAAATATCCAAGTGCATCTCTTACATCTTTCTTATACCCAACAGTGGAACACAGTTAAGCCAGGTTTTTTGCTGCTGTAAAACCAAGATTACCTCTTCTCTGGTGTCCAATAATGGATTTCTCATTTCCTTCTGAGACTTCATCAAAAATATTTTTAACATTGACATCTCTTAACATTGTATTCATGATGAGATATATATATATATATCTTAGAAGCTTTTCTAAACTATCCTAACTTTTTCTAAGTCTCCTCAAAATCACCTTTAATATCCAAATTTATGCCCACTCACCTTCTCAAGGCAATCTGGGCTTTCTCTGTCAAGTAACTCAAAATTCTTCCAGCCTTTACCCATTACCCACTTTCAGAGTCACTTCCAGTTATGGGTATTTGTTTTACAGAATTTGTATCAGTCAGGGTTCCCAAGAAACAGAACCAGTAAGGCTTGTTTATTTCGAGAACTGGCTTACGTGACTGTTGGGGCTGGCAGATTGGAAGTTTGTGGGGCAGGACAGCAGGCTTAGATAGAAACTGGTCTTGCACTATTGAGGCAGAATTTCTTTTTCTTTTAGGAAACTTCAGTTTTTGCTCTTAAGGCCTTTGAACTCATTGGATGAGGTCTGCCCTCGTTATAATCAACTGATTAAAAATGTTACTTGCAACTATAAAATTATAAAATACCTTCACAGCAGCACCTAGTGTTTGACTGAACAGGTGCGGGTGATAGCCTAGCCAAATTGATACTTAAAGTCAACCATCACAGAGGGAAAATGTGGGACACAGTGGGCTTGGTGGTTATTTTATATTGAGTAATCAGGAAATAATGTGACTTCTGATCAGAGACTTTACTTAAAAAGATAATATATTTTAGATAAAGTTGTCTTCAAATTATGTTCCTTGGCATTTTAACAAATGGGTTATCATCTTTTATCATTTTATTTTGTTCCTGGTTGATCTTTATTACCCCTTTTAATTCAGTGTGTATTGTACTACAATCATTTCATTACATAGCATGCTTAATGAACAATTTACTAGCTAAACCAACAGAAGGCCGCTGAAAATAATGATAAAAGTAACAGCACTAGTGGCTTTTGTAGAGCACATGTCTGATGGACTTGGACTTGGTTTATAGGCCAGTACTACTCTGCAGGGAAAATTCTTTTTCCCTGAGAATTAAATAGGGACTATTTTAATTAGTGCACCATCTAAATAAATGGAGCCTTTAAAAAATGTACCACTTTGCATAGTGTTTCATTATGTAAGTGGTTGCTTCTAGGTTGCATAACATAGTCTATGTGAATTTCAACTTTGTTGTAACAATAAACTCTTACAAGAAAAAGAGGAAAAGATCATTGTCGTTATACTGTTAATTGTGTTTCTCCCCTGTACACTGTCCTACAGTGGTACTGTGGTATATCATGTAAAAATGAGTTTACTCAATTTTTGGACTGTTGAGGAGACCACCCATTTACCTCACTGTTTTTTTTCCTATACCATGGTTTTACTTTTTAATTCAGGCAACCTGTTCGCCCCTGTCTCAGTAGGACTTGCTTGCTCAGCTTTTTCTTACCCAGAGTGGTTTCTCCTGTACATCAAAGTCCTGCCTGCTATGTTGCTTCTGAGAGAAAACATTTTGTAGTGAGAAGACGGGACCATGTTCTCTGCCTCTAATGTTCCATGAATGTGGCAAATTGAATATACTCTCATTAAATGCTTCACGTGACTTCTCCATGTTTACACATAGTGCAGCCCTTTCACTGGTATTTGCTTTAATGTTCTGTTCTAAAGTGCTGTTATTTTAGGGTATTTTGGGTATTTTGTTTTGAGATTCCCTCCCTTCAAAGACTAAAAACCAGGAGATTTTTTTTTTCTTTCTCAAAGTCAGTTTGTGACATTATTTTCCTCCCATTAAGTCCTTTTCTTCTTTCTTCCCATCCCACATTCCCCATGTGATGTGGAGCTTTTGATTCATTTTATAGAACTCCTCAGAGCTTTTCAACATCCAGGATGATGTCAAACTCATTCTTTTCGTCTTAACAGAATGTTTGATGTGGGAGGACAGAGATCTGAGCGGAAGAAATGGATTCACTGCTTTGAAGGAGTGACCGCCATCATCTTCTGTGTGGCACTGAGTGACTATGACCTGGTTCTAGCTGAAGATGAAGAAATGGCAAGTAGAGCCACTTTGAAAGACGGAGCACAGAATATGAAAAGCTGGAGATGTTGCCAAGAAATTTTCTGAGAAAAATTCTAGTCCAAGACTTATGTCTCTTAACTTACTACTTGTGCCAGCTCAGAAACAGAAGTAGTAAGTTAAGAGAGTAGCTCAGCCTTGATCTATCTGATACTTTGCTAGTCATGTAATTTTCAGATGTGTATCAATGAGCCATTAATCTGGAGGAAATATTGTTAAATAGAAATTTAAAACTCTTAACTTTGGTACAGACTAGGGGGGAAAGCTATAAATGTCAGCTGCAGAATTTTAAAATAAGGTACAGACAGTTACTGTGCAGGAGGTGCAGCACACACGTTCATCTCTTGTCTTCTGGCACTACAAAATACATCACTGACTTTCTGAAACCACAAATACTGGAAGGGCAGGAAATTACAAGTTTCCTTCCCTAATATACATTTATATTTAGGGTGTTGGGCTAATTGTTTCAGGTTTTTCAGTTTGTGAATCTTTAGAAATCTCTGGTTATCTCTTAAAGGAAACTTGGATTAACTCTAATAACGAGGTCTCCTTTCAAATGTTCGCACTGGCATTTGTAGATCACAGGGCCTGCAGCAGGACACGCCAGGCACAGTGACAGCCGCGGCGCTCAGCGCGTTTTCTGGCTGAATGCCAAAAGTCATGAGTGACTTAGGTACTCATCTCACTGAAAATCAAAGTGTGTGTTCTTGTTCTTAAATGGCAGAAATGTATTTTTGTGGTATGTTATCTACTTTTCAGCTGACAAAGCACTATTTTATTACCACATTCGGTATTTTTTAAAAGTGATTATTTCTCAGAATCCTTGTCATTATGACAACTGGCTGTATTCTTTTCTATTACAGAACCGAATGCATGAAAGCATGAAGTTGTTCGACAGCATATGTAACAACAAATGGTTCACAGATACATCTATCATACTTTTTCTAAACAAGAAGGATCTCTTCGAAGAAAAGATCAAAAAGAGCCCTCTCACTATATGCTATCCAGAATATGCAGGTATTTTACTTTCTGCAGATAACTTGTCAACGCCTGTATTCTAAGTGAAAGTTCCCTCAGGCAAGATTTCAGCTGTTGATTTGAATCTCTGGGCTTAGTAATTCTTACCTTTAAGAGAAATTATTTACCAAACTGCATTCAAGCACAAATAATTCCTTGAAGTGTGGCTGAGATGATTAAAAATAACATACTCATTTTAAGGAAAAGCTAGTAGATAATTTTCTATGACGATTCCAAGTCTGGTTTGTTAACGGATCCGGTGTCAGGTATAGCATGATACACAATACGTAAGACATGTCTCTGCTCACTGACTGATCTGAGAGACAGGCATACTCCTAAACAAATACCCAGTGGTGGTGCAGCACGCGACGACTGGAGAATGTGAGCAGTAAGAGTAAGGGGAAGTTAAGAGAAAGAATGGGAAAGCAGGCCTGGGTTCGCTAACCACTCAGAGGAGTCAGGCGGCTTTCACAGGAAATCCATGCTTTGGTGATGAGACCAACTGTGCAGTAAGAAAAGGAGACCTGAGATGCTGTTCTGGCTTTTCCATAATTAGCTCTTTGATCTTGAACAAGGCAGTTACTTTCCCTAGTCTCAGTACCCATCCCTGAAATCAGAAGTTGGCCTAAACCATTGGTTTGGTTCCTTGGCACACCTCCCTGGCTGCTGTTGAAAGATTCATCCCCTTTTATTCCCCCACCAACGCAACTTCTCCCTCATTAAAGCAGAGTAACTTAGCTTTCATCTGTTTTACATATTGGGTTACTAAATAAGGTTTTATTTTATTTTAATGATGAAGGCTCTGTGCCTTTAAATTTTTTTCTTGACTACCAATAGTGTATATGATCTCCAAACCTAAACATTCTGAAAAGTTTGGTTCATTCAGCTAATTGCCCTTATTCCATACTAATTGTTTAAAAAAAAAATCTCAAGCATTTGTTTCATTAGAAACAAAATTTTAGTCAGTTTTGTACAATGAGTACTTACTGCCTTTTCACAGGCAGTGTTAAAACAACCATGTGATATCAGCGTTCATATTCCCACTTAGGCAGGTGAGAGCACCGGGGCTCAGAGATGCAACAGAGTCCAAATCCAGACCCAAGTCTGCTGTAGTCCTGCGTCCAGAACACTAACCACCAGAACACATTTAATTATAGTCACTGGAGCCAGAGTGGGAAAGTACTCATTAGTACAGCCAGCCCTTTTTGTGCATTGCAGTTATACTTCAAGTCAAAGTAATTTCAGAGTCACTTATTTTAAAACTTTCATTTTCTTTTGAAAGTCATGGTATCCTAGGTACCTTACTCAAACACTTTTAGGGCTTTAACTATTAATTTTTTAACTGAAGTATTATAGTCAGTTTACAATGTTGTGTCAATTTAGGAAAAAATGTTATTTATAGTTCTAGTTCCAAGATTGAAGTTATCCCGAATCAAGGTGGCTCAGTTTTATCTTTATTAGAGGACCTAAAAGAATCCACAAATATT